GCAGCACTAACAGCAGCAGCAGCAGCAGCAGCAGCAGCAGCAGCAGCAGCAGCAGCAGCAGCAGCAGCAGGCTTGCCTATGAGTATGAGTTTAATAAGGTAATCATAGGCGAGCACCGAGGGTCTCCTCCCCCCCCCCAAAACTTTATCTAAGGCAAAAGCTACAGCATCAGAGGCAGCCATCACCGCAACGCAGCAGCAACAGCTGCTGCTGCTGCTGCTGCTGCTGCTGCTGCTGCTGCTGCTGCTGCTGCTGCTGCTGTTGTTGTTGTTGTTGTTGTTGTTGCTGCTGCTGTTGCTGCTGCTGGTTTTGGTTTTGGTGTTGCTGCTGTTGCTGCTGTGCTGGTTCTGCTGCTGCTGTTTTCGTGCAGCTGCTGCTGCTGCTATTCGTGGTGACGCCTCTTCTGCTGCTATTCCTGCTGCTGCTGCTGCTGTGCGACCTGTTGCTGCTGGTGTTGCTGCTGCTGCTGATGTTGCTGTTGCTGCTCTTGCTGCAGCAGCAGGACCCTGGGTGGCTGGTAGCTACTGCTGGGGCCGCGGATGGCTGCGTCTCGCATGGAGCCTTTGCTGCTAGTGCTGCTGCTGTCGCTGCTGCTGCTGCTGCTGCTGCTGTTGCTGCTGCTGCTGCTGCTGTTTCTGCTGCTGCTGCTGGTGTTGATGCGGCTGTTTTTGCCGTTGCTGCCGCTGCTGCTGTTGCTGCTGCTGCTGCTAATGCTGCTGTCCGTGCTGAGCGTGCAGCAGCAGGGCGGGATGTTGCTGCTCTCGGGTGAAGCCGGCGCTGCAGCAGCAGCAGCAGCAGCAGCAGCAGTTGCTGCTGCTGCTGCTTCAGGGAAAGAGAGCTTGGTTGCCCCCTAATGTGTGTGAGCAGCAGCAGGAGGGCCCCCCGGGGGCCCCGTGTGCACGGGCCCCGCGGGCAGCAGCAGAAAGGGCACAGCAACTGCTGCTGCTGCAGCTCTGCTGCAGCAGCAACAAAAAAAATAATATAAAAAAAGAAAATGCAACTCAAATAGAAAGAGATAGAAGATAAAGAACGGGAGCAGCAAGCGGACAGGGCCCCCCGTGCCTGCTGCTGCGCTACTGCTGCCGCTGCTGCTGCTGCTGCTGCTGCTGCTGCTGCTGCTGCTGCTGCTGTTGGCTGTCTCCTTTCGATACAGAGAGGAGACACCGACCCCCCAGCCTTTTACGATGACAACACTGCAACAAAGTTATTAAATAAATACAAATTACATTTTGTTTCAGCTCAAGCAGCAGCAGCAGCAGCAGCAGCAGCAACAGCAGCAGCAGCAGCAGCAGCAAAAGCGAGCGTGGGCCCAAGGCTGTGTGTGTGTGTGGCGGTATGAGAGGAGAGCATCTTCTTCCTTTTCTTCTCTTTATATAAATATTTTTGTTTTCTTTTTGTTTTATTTCTTTAATTAAAAACAAATAAAAAGAGGGGGGCCCCCCTCTCACTCCTTTATACAGCAAGGGTACAGACAGCCTAGGCCGGGGGGGCCCCCCTGGTGCTCGCCCGCCCCGGGGGCCCCCCTAAAACAAACCATAGGGGCCCCCCTTTGCTTCCTTCTGCTCTTACCTCCTCTTCAGCAGATGGTTGGGGGCCCCCCCCCCATAGAAGACAGAGCTGGGGGGCCCCTATAAGAGCCAAGACAGCTGGGGGGGGGCCCCCCTATATAAGGTATCTGGGGGCCCCCCGTGTAGCTACAGCTGAGGATGGAGGGGTGGGGGGGCTGTCCCCCCCTCTCCGCCGCGTGGCTTAGCGAGGCAGCTGAGGCCGCCAATCACCACCAGGGGGCCCCCAACAAACAAAACAACAAACACAAACATAAAAAACACACAAGGGCAACGCGAGCAACAGGGGCCCCCAAGGATAGAAGGGGGGCCCCACGGGGACCCTTTCCTTCAGGGGACCCTGGGGAGCCAGGGGCCCCCGGCGAGTCAGGGGCGCCAGGGGCCCTAGGGGGGTCCTTGTCCTCAGGGGGCCCTGGGGACTCAGGGGCCCCAGGGGTCCTAGGGGGCCCCTTGTCCTCAGGGGCATCAGGGGCCCCTGGGGCCCCCGGGGAGTCAGGGGCCCCAGGGGTCCTAGGGGGGCCCTTGTCCCCCGGGGACCTTGGGGGCCCCGGGAGCTCCTTGCCCTCAGGGGACCCCGGGGATCTGGGGGGGCCCTTGTCAGCAGGTGACGCAGGGGCCCCAGGGGGCCCCTTCTCCTCAGGTGACCCAGGGGTCCCAGGGGGCCCAGAAGCCACAGGGGGCGCCTTGTCCGTGGAGGGCCCTGGGGGCCCCCTGTCCTCAGGGGGCCCTGGGGCCCCCGGGGGCCCTCCAGTATTGGGGGGGCCCCTCGAGGGTGTGGCTTCAGAGGACTCCCTTTTTGTCGTTCCCCCTGCAGAGGGCCCCTGCAGTCTGCTTACACCGGGGGCCCCCCTGGGTGTGGCTGCTGCAGGGCCGCTGGATATGGGTGGGTTGGGGGCCCCCTATATGGAGACCCTTATTGGAGAGGGTACTGGGGGGCCCCTTGACGATGGGGGCCCCCTAGACGATGACCCCATGGGGGTTTCTATGGGGCCCCTGTATGCCCCTGAAGAGGAATGGATGGAGCCGCCGATCGCTGCTGCATGGGGGGCCCCCCTAGGGACAGCTTTGGGGGCCCCTACTGTGGGGGCCCCTCTAGGGGCCCCCACAATCGGGGCCCCTGGGGATCTCCTCCCTGAGCCAGCTGGGGGGCCCCTTGCATGCAGCTCGCTGGGGCTTGCAGTCGAGTACCCTATGAGCTGCCTGGAGTATAGCGGCGAGGGGCCCCTGACGACGGCCTTGGGGGCCCCTGGGGGGCCCCCCGCCCTGGATACATCTTCCCTGTTAGTATCGCCAGACGCAGGGGGCCCCCATGAGGTTACTTTGGGGGCCCCCCCGAGCAGCGCTGTTGCTGCTGAAGGCGTCTC